GTAATTAAAGTTTTGATCTCTTTCTAAAAACTTCTCTATGGACAGTAAAATTTTAAGTTATTGACACATATATCTCTAATTAAGTTTATCTGAATAAAATGTTAATAAAATTGATGGTCTGAGGCTTTTTTGCCAATAATTGGTCATTTTAAAATTATCTAATTTGTATATATTGATGGGTTTATAGTACTTTTCTAGGAAGATATACATTTAGGTCAGTTACTTAACCTGTAATCTATGGTATTTAAGAGTTCCTAGGGAATTTAATGGAGGAAGTTCATAGCTGGAACTATTAGCTTTCTAAAAACTGACATTGTGTGTGCGATTGCATAAGTGTGTGTCTGCCTGTATGCATGTGCATGTGTATTTAGGAGAGTATAGCTACAATCAAGACATCTATAACCCAAGAGGATTAAGCATTACTGGTTTAGGATATCATGCAGAACTCTTATGAAAAGTTACCTTCACCTAGAAAACTTTTTAAATAATGGAGTTTAAAAAAAGATAATTATGTATTTCTTTCTATTACTAAATGAATTTTGACATCCTCTAATTTGATAGAGTAGGTCAGAAGTAACACAACTTGGTTTGAAAATAAACATTTGTGATATGATAAAATATTTTTTTAATTTTTAAAGAGTTTAAGGAATAATCAAATAATATAGCTTTTTATTGAGATATAATTGACATATAGCATTATTAGTTTCAGGTATACGACATAATGAATCACTATTTGTATATATTGAGAAGTGATCACCATAATGTCTAGTTAACATCCATCACTGCACAGTTACATTTTTTTGTGTGTGATGAAAACTTTTAAGATCTAGTATCTTAGCAACTTTCAAATATGCAACGATAGTTACCATGCTGTACATTATATCCCCAGGACTTATTTATTTTATAATGGGAATTTTGTACCTTTGACCACTTACATCCATTTCAACCAAATAGTATAGCTTTTAAGTAATCTTTCAAAGGTGTGTTTTGTTTTGTTTTGTTTTTTTGCCTTGTCCTCGTGATATTTGTAGAACAGCCCATTACAGGAAAAAAAGAGTGTGACCATGTCAAAACTTGTTCAGCACCAAAGGACTTTCTCCATATATCTGTGGTTCTTTTTATGCAATATCAAAATTAATAAAATTGCATTCATGAGAATCTAGTTAATCATCCAGATCCGTACCTTTTTGTTCTAAGTTCAAAACTTTATTTTACTAGAAAGGATGCTAGAGATGTCCACACATTTTTGAAGCTAGATTAAAAAACCACGAAATACTGAATACCATTTCTTTGATTAGCCACCTAAAGGTCAAACTTAATATTTGGTTTAAATAATTATTTATGTTTTTTTTTTTAATATGACATGAACCTGTAGATACTTAGATCAAGAGAGCTTTATAAATCTAGAATATAGTTTGATTAATTAATTTCAATGCAGTTATGTTATTTCTTTTCTTTTGGAATTAACATGTAGAGCTGAAAACTTCTCATTTTCATACTTAATAATTAAAAGAATACAATGTTTCTTGTTCATTGATAGCCTAGATACATATAGGTATAGTTAGGGGTTTTGTTTTTGTTTTAAGATAGAGTTGCTATTAGTACTGTGGTTGAGAACCAGGGCTCTGAAGCCCAACAGGCTGAGGTTAATTATCTACTATACCTTTTATGATTCATATGATCTCAGGAATTTATTCAGTCTATGTGCCTTAGTTTCTCCAGCTACGAATTGCAAAGTATAATTAGGCTTGTTGTGAGACTTAACTAAGTTATTACATATAAGGCACTTTAAACAGTGCCTGACACAAAGAAAATATTCAATAAATATTGGCTATGATTCTTAATTATATTCTGATTGATTGACTCAAATATAACATTTTCACTACCCTGTATGAATGTAATTTTAATTCATAAGACCAAAAGTAAGCATGATAATGAGTTTCTTGAGTCCAGAAGTCAAGGATGATGTGTCATTTGAACAATAAAATGA